AAAACAATACAATATTTTTAAAACTCCCGCAGCTGGCTAATGCTAGGGCATATATAATTTCTACCAACTACCATGCCAGTAAAACACAACTTGTATTGCTGCAAATTTAGGATAGTTTCCGAAAAAAAAAAATGCTCATTTTTACCACAATTCAACACATGATTTAAGTTAAACCTACTTTAAGCCATCCTCTGCAACAGAGGACACTGAAGTACAAACAAGTTCGGGTGGTCTTTCTGGTGATGGTATGCCTGAAGGACCATGGTACATAGGCACTGGGAAGCTAATAGTGTTCCTGAATTTGCTGCGAATCTGAACCATTCTATTTCGAAACTTTGTAATATAGTCTGGAAAAGACATGTTGCCAAGTATGTGACTGAGAAGTCCAATTCCATCGATGTCATACATCCACAAATATATTTACCAACTTTCAGTCCTAGAGCTGCTTCGCTCAAACTGTTTGAGTCTTTGAACATGGGCAACACTCCCACTAAAATGTTTTTAACTATTTACCTCCATTACTTTTCAAGTCTGCAACATTAGTATACACTGAAAGTATTTCAACCAGTTTGCCTCCAAGGACATCTAATGGTGAAGAGCATGCACTCCCCTGCCTTGTCAATATTAGATTGTTTGTCCTGATCGCTTCATTAATCCATTTGCAAGCTAATGCAATTCTTCAAATTACGAGGACCTCTACCCTATTCACATTTTGCAAATCCATCAATGTCAATGGGGCAAAAGTGTTGGCTCAATTCCTTTGTGAATCTAATACTCCCTTGTCTGACCTCAATGTTCTGTTTTGCCCCTTTAAAGTGTTCCTTTTTACCCCCTGGGTGACATATAATACCAAACAATGTCTGGTAGTCTATAATCAGACTGATAGAAACCAAGCAACACTGTCAGGTATCTATCTTGCTATCAGGTTAATCGCTGGACCCCAACCACTGGTGATCAGATCTCAAAGCAATAGCATGCAACACGTTACTGGTTGGTTTTAAGTACAGCAATGTATCCCAAACCCTACGGTCATGTGATCTGGTGTTTTTACAATAGGCTGTGGGGGCCCCCATTCACATTCCCTCATTAATTTTTCATATAGATTGGAGTAAGTAGATATCCACTTATTTGTTAGCAGAAGCAGAAACAAAACAGGTAAGTTACTCAAGCACGAGGAACCCTATCAATATATATACACAATGAATAAAGGAAAATGAAACCACCAAGAACCTGATGCATTTTTATTTGGTTATAGGCTCAATAATGCTATGGATACCTTACAACAATAGGTTTTTATAACATGGGGTTGGTTAATTAATCATTATCAGATTCCCAATAATGAATACAACTAGAGTGGATGTAACTTCTACTTGTACATCTCCATTACAGCAAACATTAAATAATTTAGGTATTCCATGTATAGATCTAACTGTTGAACTAATCTACATACTATTACACCCAATTAATGTCAGCATTCCCTTACAAGACACACAAAAATGGCACATTTTCAAATAAATGGAAGTCTGCATTGTCAAGAAACAAAAACATATAAATTTATACTTTGGACCTTTCAATTATCTAACAATCCATGACGAATAAAAATAAACATTTTAGTAAGTGTCAAATATAATTCACATCAACCTGAGTGTGTTAGGTGAGACAAACAATCAATGTGAAAACATTTAACTTGGTGATAGCAATGTATTTGTTCTCAATCTTAACATCTCTTTTTGGGGATGCATAATAAATCAATTAATGAAGTATTCAAAATAAAAAATAAATATCTTAAAATAAACAGACAAATATATATAGGTGAAACTTATCAAATGACTGAACAAATAAACATAAATAAATAAATAAATAAATAAATAAATAAAGTGACAATAATCCAATTTTTCATTATCTCTAATAATGCAACATTTTTTATCTCTAACAACAAACATTCTCCAATATTCCTCAGTTGCTACAGTATAGACTCCAAATGATCATATGTTACAACAGTAAAGAATTTGATATTATTTTAATTCCCTAAGTGAGATCACCTATCCTTATAATAACTTCCATGATACTAGTGGTAATAACTAAAACTAGAAAAGCCCAGAAAATTTGTATTAACATTTATCCTGCAGTGGCTAAACATAAAATACCTCAACGACATATACTATTATGTGACAAAAAATCATTAAATATTACATACCTTAGCTGAGGAAGAGGTGATCTAGGCTTAAGAATATGTCCATGTATCATCTTGAGTCGCACCATTTTCTTAGAGTAGACACTCACTGAGGGTAAAGCTCCACTCTTACTGGATATGTCCTCCTCTCCAATATCCCTATCCATAAGCATACTTAAACGGAATTTTTGTGCATTTTGGCATAAGTCCTTGGCACTCTTCTTCTATATTCTGTCTATATCAATTCTATAAACATCCCCAGCCTTGCAGGCATCCTGGTGAGTTTCCTAACTTGTGAAGTGTGTTAATTCTCTCCTTTTCAGTTTTGAACAAGACCTATTAGCAACGAAATGGATGACAAACTCCAACTGGCCAGTACTAATTTGGTGACAAAAGCCGACTTGCTAAATCAACCTGAACCAGACTGCAATATTATTTTGTCCAGTCACAGTTATCCGAAGAATACCGTATACAACTGTTCTGAACAGCAATACAATCAACTCCATCTATGAACTGCAGTACTGGGTATGGCTCAAAACAGCATCTCATTATCTTGAAATCATGCACCCAACGTCAGGAAATTGGCTCTCTCAGGTGTTTTGGAATGTATGAAAAAGTCTGCTTCTTTGACAACTACAACAGTCTATTTTCTGTTTATCTCGTGCCCTTTGCTGCTTATTTGTGCTCAAAATTAAGTGTAGCATGAAGAATAACATTAAGCTGAATACCCATCTAAAGAGTGAATGAATTATTTCAGTGACGCCGTAACCCTGTCGTAACCTGCTTTACAATACTGTTATAACAAAACAAGAACAGCATTGAGATAATTCTTGCAAATTCATTCAGTAGCTTGATTCCTCATAACAAACAAAATACATACTGCAAAGTCACTTCTCCAGAGCCACAAGTTATGATAAAAAATTTGGCAAAGTCTACTTTGCCTTACTTAACCCAATCTCTATTTCCTTGACTACACCGAGAGGTATGAACTACGCCCCGGCAGTCTTTGATTGTTGGTCAACAAACAGTTCTAGACACTAGCAATGAGGTAAACTTAAAACCATTTTAATCTGGTTAAGTGTATTGAACTTGTTAACAATAGTCAAGAATACTCCCCTACAAAAGTAAGGTCAATCTAAGGAAGGTTGCTTTTTTTCCCCCAAACAAACATGCCATTGTGCAGCACATTAGACCTACACTGGTAGTTTTTACATTGTACTTGCTTTAAGGTGGGAAAATTCACCTGAGCCAGGTACCACAGGTAGTTTGACAATTATTGAAATAAAACTATATACTGTTTTACTGATAATTTTATTTCCCTGAGGAAAATTTCCAGGGAATATTGACCATCCAGTTAAAGGCAAGGGGCAAATATTGGGCATAAAATATACTTTTCAAACTTTCCCCATTATTTTCTGTTAATGCTCATTAAATCTATCAAAAGTCGAGATCCACTTCCATATCATTCTCTCTCTTTTTTTTCCAAATTCTGTTTGTTCAAAAAAGTCCCATTCAGATTAAGCATCATGCAAACCAGTTATTATCTTTCATAAGAACTTCTGATTTAGCTCATTTTTTGTGCCTTTATTACAAGGTGATGCCTATATCTGTCTTTGTCTAATTTCAATGCTGCAATATGGTACTCTAAGCTGTCAACAATATCAACAAAGTGTACTCTTCAAACAATGCTAAAACGGACCACACCTCAGAATAATCCAGAACTTTTAATACCCGCTCACAAACCCCTTTCAAAACAAAAGGACTCATGATGTCATTAAGAAATACATTGGATCAGCCTACCTATCTATCACACTTAACTAGTTCCCCATCTTCCATTTGACATTATCATCAAGAATTAATGGCTTTTCATTTGTCAGTGACAACTGTAATTGATTGCTTTGAATTGCATTACCTGCATTCTAAATGGTATGAATGACATTTATATAATTTATGCAAGACTTGTAATGAGATACTGTTTATTTGCTCTTTGTTTCCCTATTGAAGCATCTGGATAACATTTCTGGGAAATACATAAATTTCTCAATTATTTTGATAAATGAACCAAAAGGTAATATTTATCTGTCATAAGAAATGGTCATATTTAAGGAGTATTATTAAGCAGAAACACTTCACCTAGCAAAGAACAAGTGTCAACATTATTCTTTTTCGTGAGTCTTGTTTTGCTCCAGGTGCAAAGAAGGCTGAAAAGAATGCAAGTTCATGTTTTTTTTTTCGAAGCACAATTTTTTTTCTGAAGATTAGTTTGCAATAAAAAATCAATCTGTGATAACTATTTTAACTGTAAAAAATCAACATATCTATTTCTAATCCATCATTGTTACTTTGTCATTTATTCATGCTTTATTCCTGGAATAACACCCTCTAAACTGATAACTTAAAAACTCTCTTATCTAGATTCACAAATTCCTTCTTGAAATAGTTTTTTTTTTCCTGTTTGCTTATGCAGAAAGGATAAAATTTCTTTCAAAAAATTGTAATAAAATAGGTGTAGCTGTGATTAACCTGAAAAAAAGGCATTTATTTGTGAGTACATGTCACTAATGCCTATCAATCATAACAGAGTCAACAGATTTCTACAAATAACGGTGAAGACAATATAAACTTGAGGCTTAACGACACATGATGCAAAGTCAGATAAATTACCTAAATTAAAAACACGGTGCAAATACAAATGCACAAGCAAGACAAATTCCCACACACTGTTCACTAGTGCTTGTACTTACTTTTTACAGTTTTAAGGAAAAAATCAAATGCACATACATACCATTGTATGTTTTCTTTTGTCTGTGTCCTCTTTAAAACCTCCAACTGCTCATACTTCTTTGTAAGTTGTCGAATCATTTGAGTTATACAAGGTATAGTCTTTGGAGGCTCTATACGATGTATCATTTTAACATGAACCCCTGTATTTGAATACTTGCGGGTAAAAAAGAAATTGTTGCCTCCTTCAACTTCCTTAATTTCTTGCAGTTGTCGGTTTCCACGGATTCGACCTGGATTCATTTTTCATTGGTCTCACCCTGTACTACTATACACATTCCTTTGAAGGAGAGATCCAAAGTCTGTTTGGAACCTGAAGTTGGCAATTATCGAGTGTAACACGTGTAGCGTTTACTCAGCCACATATATCTTCCTACCAGCTCAGACGTTAGAAAAAAAAAATTAAATGTATCACACTGTGAAAATCCAATTTTAATTGTGGTGAAATTAAGATGCCAAGTTTGCTTCAAACTGAGCTCATTTCTCATATCAAATTGGGCAATTTCCCGTCAAGTCTGTTCACTCATTCATAAGCATGACACACCATATTGTTTAAGGTCTACTGGAGTACCAGCACACATGCTGTCAAATCCTAAATGTCAAGCACTTGAATAAAGCACTTTATGGCTGGAATATAAAATCAATCCAATTCATGATTCCAAGGATATTGTGTGATTGCAAATTAGCGGCTATTCTGCAAAATGACACTTTCAATATTTCATAACATTTGGAAAGTTCTCTGATCCTATAGTTACCATTCCAGAAGCTATCAAAAAAACTTCCTCAACATTCAGATTAGTTTCCTCTCCTTTTGAGTTCCAGATTAATAATCCCAGATATATATGGATTTGCCACCACTCATAGGGCTTGATACCACAACATGATCCTTAGTCAAACACTTCAAATAAGCAGTCTTCTTATGCATCACCCATGTGATAGCCTTAATCTTGGCGTAATGAGAATTCATTTACACAGAAAAATATCTCACAGATAGCAGTTTGATGATAAAATATGCAGCCCTACTAGTGACCAAGGTTGTTTGCTCTTTAAATTGTGACGATGAAATAAAGCTGCCAATATACTGTTAACCAAGAGATCAGGTCACTGCAAAGAAATGAGACTCCCCCTCCTTTTATATACATGTATAAAAATCAAAAACCAAAACAAACATACATCAGAGTGGTCTCAGTTTTCATTACCCGAAAGGTATCCTAACAGACAAAGGTCTCCTTGGATAACAAATCAATCTCACTGACACTATACACTACCATTGAGGCTACCCTATTCATGCTACCCCAAAACAGTTTACTCAATGTAAACTGCCAGAATCATTTTCAATAATCCCATTTTCATAGAGCTCTAAAATATCCCACATCCATAGCCCATTAGGCCAAAATGCTGGGCATGAATTGTACAAAGGTTGATCAGTTGACAGGCCATGCTACCTTGTGTGTGTTATGCATTTGTTATACAACAAATGGGGTTAAATGTTTTATCAGGCATAATATTTAAGGCTGGTATGTTGATCCAATAATATTTACACATGAAAATTGTTGTTAGGGTTATGAAGAAATAAAAATACATTAAAACTATTTCAAATTTCCACGTATTTGGTAAGTACAATAGCCCTTCATAAATACAAGTAAATCTGAATCTGAAAAAGGCAAAGTGATCCCAGATTACTGGTATGCCTATTTCTGTATATACACTAGTAAATTCATATAGATCCACTTTGTAAAAATTCAAAGGCTTAAGTGGGCACTATTTACAAATAAAAAGCAATCCATTTTCCATTAACAGTTGTAATGCTGAGAAAATATTGTTTAAACATGCCCCCAGCAGCTCTGTTTCAAACGNAACTCTGTTTCAAACACTTTTTTTTTTGCAAAGATCAATAAGCACTGGACCATTTATTAATAATTTAAAAGCTCTTGCATGGATTTTCATCAAACTAAGACTGTTAAACAGAAGCGAGAAAAAGTAGTTAAAATCTATAATGATATCTGGCATATCATTCCAGGATTTTAAAGGGGTATCAAGCATGCAATAATCCAGTCAGTACACTACGTCACTCATGTTTACAGTTGCTACACTGCCCATCATCTTTAGTCTCAGGATTATCTTTGTTTTCACTCAATGTTACAGAAAAATATTAAATCTTCCAGAAAATTTCAAATGAAATTCCTCAGTATCTACTTCAAGTGATAAATGGAAGTTGGTTTACTGGTATCTCTGAAAAAGTGAAATAAAATTATGTTAATTAAGATTTCTTTTAAAACGTGACCCCTCCTTTGTACTATGTGAAGTACTGACAGTCAATCTCTATGTCACAGGTTTTAAAAGCCAAAGCTTAAATTCTAGCAGGTAAATTTCAGGGTTACTATCTCAATGCCCCTCTTTATCCCATAACAAGCTTCACTGTACCTAATTTTACTTGCAAGCATTCTGGTTAATAACGAACACTAACCAGACAAATCCCTTGACCTTTATTTGGTACTGTCAGCTTTATCATTTGGGCTTGTTATTAAATTTTCCTTGATAAAGTGTGTCAATCAAAGTAAATAATGCTGTATTTAGACTCCACAGCATGGTGTTTGGATGTTTTGAAGTCAAAGCTAGTGGACATTATTATCCATGCTGCAGTTTGTTAGACAAAACCATGGTGATGGACTTAGAACCACCTTTAGCTGATCATGTGCTTCTGAATTTCATGCTGTAGTATACTTATAAGGCAACTAGTGGCAAAGATTTCAAATTACTTAAGTTTCACAAAAATGAGTGATTGCATATCAAAAGTGCCCTAATCCATCAGAAATAAGATTTCTGTCAGTAGGAAACTGCTACTCATAATTCATAATTGATGACTTCTATCATAAACAAGCTTTGTTAAGAGATCCATTCCGAAATATCAAACATTTGAATTTTTAACAAAAATCCATTAAGCATTGTTTACTGCATAAACAAATTCACTGAAGTGGAATTTAAATATCAAACTCTTTTAATTGCCTATATATCACTTGTTATTTCAGCAACAAACAGAAAAACAATGAATTGCTGTTGTTGTACTTAAAGTCACAACCTGACACAACCACCTCTACCACAATGATTTGCAATTTGTTTCCAAGTGCTTGTTTACATGTTGTTTTGCAGCTTTGTTATTTATGGGGATAACTTTGCCCTGATTGAGGTAAGCCAAATCATAAACCTTACCAAAATATACCATTCAATGGACATCCTTAAAACCCTTTAAATAGTTCCATGGTCCTATAAGTACACTAATAAATGAAAATATGTTCACCAAGAGTACCCAAATTGTCTTCTTTCCTTTCTTTCAACCTGTACCACTTTTATACAGCTACTCATAAAAAAAAAAAAACATGTTAACTAATTCATTAAAAAAAAAAGCAAGTTTATTTAAATATTTCACTTAAAAGGAAACACTACCCATAAATGCAAAAATCCTGAAATCCATATTCATGTATATCAAACTGCCCTTACAGCAAAATGCAACATGTTCAAGACCCCATGACACTGAGTGGTCAAATATAAAAGAGGTAAGTAACCAAGGCACCTTAGATCTAAGGATGGCAGAAAAAAGAATATGGCATGAAAATACCAGCATCACACTTGGATGTTCTAAAAAACACATAGGATGAAAGACATTAATCTATCAATTCTAGTGACACTTGCAATAACTACTCGATGCAGCACACTTCCAACAACATTCATTGTCTGATTGATCTGTCTGATGTAGGTATTAATTTTAATTAAGAAGCAGATAGCATTATTGGTTGTTGCAAAAAATGGTGTTAAATTTCACAGCACAGAGAGATGAGAGACATAAACGTAAACATATGATGACCTACAGGTAGTATGACTTGGCTACGATGATTTTTTGGGGGGAATTATTTACACCACTACCAGCATATAGTTAATCCAATTATGGGCATTCAATGCTTACCCATAAATATAATACTTATGGAGACTTAATACTGTATACAGGTAACAATTCCACCGTGGGTTTTCATATATACCAACAATTTATTGATTTATTTTCAGACTTTATCTGAAAGCTCTCACTTTAAACACCTTTAAGGGTTATGTTACTGGTCTGCAAAAGTAATGTGGCATTTCACTGCCACTATCACAATTTTTTTCAGGTCAAAACTCTACAACTAACAATGACAAATACTTAGATAAAGAAAAAGTCAGCACAGCTAAAGGGAAAGGGTGATTTGACCTTGAAAAAATGATTGAGCATGCACTTATCACCTAAATCAATTGACGGCCAAATAGCAACAAAATCAACTTGGTGGGATCTTAGCAGGGGTCTCCTACTCCAGACAGTTACTTTGACTTGTGCCAGAGTACACATCTTGTGCACACAATGTACTTACTCATTATGTGTTGCTTTATGTAACAAATCTAAATTACAAACTCAAATGTTTAAGGTGTAATTATGAGTCTCTCATTTCTCAGTCACACAATATTAATTTATGGAGTTTGAACTTTAAGTTTAAACACAGGCTGAAAACAAAGATTATGTGCAAAGCGCATTGGAACTGTATCAAATGGCAATAACTGATATTTAAAACAAAGGCTTAGAGTACCCACTTTTACCACCTAAACCACAGGTTTACAGGAAATATATTTAGATAAAGTTACTAAGGGGAAACATAGTGCAGGATTAAAAATGTCAATGTTGGAATAGCAGAGACAAGTATTTAACCAGGACCTTTTTCCCATGCTAAGTAAAGAAACATGAGAACTATTGCATTTTTAACTTGGGAAATGCTTTGATCCTTTTTCAAGCAATCAATATGACAGACTCTTTTTGAAGAACTAATGAACTAAATGCATGTTAAGGGGTATAGAAATTTTGTAAAAATATAAATGGTTTGAAAACATAGAAAAGTATGTACTCTTTAATATACAATCCTGGTGAAGCTTGTCCAATACCAAGCAAAAAAATTACATCAGGCCTCAAATTTTAATTAATGAGATTTTGGTACTAGTTGTTCCAAATGGGCTGGCAATTATTTCAAACTCACACCACTGAAGTGCATATGTGTAATCATTTAGCCATCAGTATGCTTCCTGAATGTTTAAACCTAAATTTAATACAATAGTTGATCAATTAAATTTTTGGCAAAGGACAGCAATTAAAATTCCTATATGCCCCAATTACCATGGATTTATTATATGTCTCTGAAAATATTGACAGGCCTGTAATATCTAGATTTCAGCAGGCCCTTGAGTCTGCAATACTGACATGTCTGTGTACAAAAATCTAACCATATGCACTATAGAATAAGACAAAATAATTGAAAACATTTTGCAAACCAAAATCATGTCAGACTCTCTACTCTACTGTGTGTGTGTGTGTGTGTGTGTGTGTGTGTTGTTGTTGTTGTTGTTACAACTTAAAGTAATTTGACAAATCAGTTATTGTTCGATGTACCCTCTCCAACCTCCTTTATGACAAATCTCCTGGCTTTTATATTCCACTCAAAAGCATTAAAAGGCTAATAATCTACTTGGTATGTATGAATAAATTCAGTGCAAAATCTTGATTTTGCATTTTGTGGGAAATGTCAATTATAACTGCTAAGCAATTCAAATTATGATATATAAGGTTACTGAAAAAAAATAACCACCTTTTTATGCAATCCTTGTTTACGTCTGAATAATAGAAAATCAGGAAAAAACATACAGAGGTAAAAAAATTCCATGTGGGGTTATCATGTCGTTAAAGGTGACAAAGAATCCTTTCTAAAAATTCAATACTATCTCAATATTTGTTTTTGGTATTTGCACTTGCTGTTTGCTCCCAAACAAATTTAACAGCATTTTAGGCACATGATTAAAGGAGGGGTTTAACTTAAAAGAAGTTGGTGTAAATTTACCTAACATAATGTGACAGGTTAACACAATATTTCACAGCTTGAAGCCATGGTGCTCCTTGATCAAACAATTTTAGCCAAAGTGCACCTTGAAATATTGCTATTCAAAATACACTACACAGCAAGTTTAAACAAGGTATGTTACTCAATCGGTTACAACATCACTAGAGAAACACAAACAAGGATGTACAACATAGATGCATAAATGGACTTCTTTTCAATACTTTGAAGTCAGATACATATTAAAATTTATCAGCCAATAAAAACAAAAATTTCACTTACTCCATTCTGTGCTTTTCTAGTAGCTTGGAAAATCCAATTCCTGTTCGCTTCATAGTATCTAAAAGTGGCTCTTAAAAAAGCAAAAGAAACAAGAGAAAAAATGCAATGAATTTTGATTTAACTGAATATAAGTGCACTGTCCATATGTAAATCAGAACTGATATTCACTGACAATTATGTGAATATCATAATGGACTTCATGATGTCAAACATCTTATTTTACATGTGGGCCAATACAACTGAAAGAAGAGGAAAAAGAGTACAGTGAAAGAGACTTCTGACAAGGGTTCCTATTAAAATTACTAAAGAATTTGGCCAAGCCTACCAGTATGTATAATACAGTCTGTCAACAAAAGTGACCGATTCAAGAAATAATTCTTGACCCGCCACAGACAAATATTTCAACAAACAAAGTTCACAGATGATTAAGCAATTTTTGTCTGCTTTAATATGTATGTATATATTAACAATATGACCCTTGCTTCTTCAATGAAGAGAAAAATATTTAGATAAGTATATTAATCTGAATTAAACATACACATAAATAGCATAATCTACACTGTAGTAAATGACCAGTTTAGATGCAGGTCAGTGTATTGTACAACGTATGAAGACTGTCTGTAATACTTTTTAACTTTTCTTTTCCCCATGCAGTATTTTTTTAAGTGTGTGTACATTAGAAACGTGAATCTTCCACAGATAAACACACACACAAAGCACTATGTCCTTGTTGCATTTCTTTTCTTATCCAATGAATGAAATCAAGTCAGTTTTATTGTAGCGACAGTCGACGGGCTGTGTAGGCTTTACCAGGGTATGCATTATTTTCTCTTCATTAAAATCAAAATATGATCACTTTGACCTATTTTCACAAAATGAAGTAAGAATAATTGGTAGCATCTAGCAGAACTTATATAACTGATACTAACTGGTAAACGTTCAAACTATAAACACAAGTTGCACAGACACAAAATAACCATTAGCATTAGCACGATTTACTACGTAACAGTAGATGCTTTGTACATGTACGCGAAAGAGAACATTTGAGTGATCTAAAAGATAACGATACATTTTAAACATGAATACTTACTTAAAGGAAAGTTGCCGTGGTATGATCTAGCACTGGACCTTCTTGGTAACACGTAGTCATCTATATACGGAGGCGGCACATCTTCTACCGGTGTTTTGTATCGCAAGTTAATCAAACTTGGCCCTTGCTTGGGTGACTCCATCTTCCAATTCACGGAATTGCTTTTATCGTCGTCCGATCCACGGCGAGGTTCTGATTCACGAATCCGGCACCGGAACTGGCCAAATCTCTGCCACCAACTATCATCATGCATAGTCAAACGAGGTACTAGTTCACTTCAATCAATCATTAGAAGATCAAACTTCCCACTTACCTCTAAGTGCCGATCCACTTATTAATTGACAAACCGCGCATCAAAATAGTACCAAATGCGTGTCATTTGTTGAACTCTTTGTATGCATGATACGCAAATGCAATGTAAATAAACAATATGAAAGTAAACAGATGCTCTAATAATTGCAGTTGTTTTAGCAAAGCTTTGGTAAATAAAGGTTTTGCTGATTGTCTTCTGCTAGAGCGCAAGAATATTGACGTGACGCCGAAACGCAATCTCACATTTTCCAATCACACCTGTCACACTATTTTCTACTACTGCTAGATCGAAATCTAAGCTGACACGATATTCTGTTGTTGCACGTCATTAGCTTTTGAAATACCTTAGAGTGCAACATTCGGCGATTTTGTTGAAAAGTCCTTCAATGTTTATCACTTTTTGTAATTAATAAAATTAGGGTAAAAATACAAAAGTGCACATTTAAATAAGTAAAGGTAAATAAGTATAGGTAAAATATCAATTTTGCATTTAATCCTAGACTCATTTAAAATGCAATAGTCTAGACTATATCTTTGAATTTATTATGTGTCAGTGCAACATCAAAATCAAATAAATGAAAAGTGCAATTATCTGCAGTAAATCTAAATCTGGTGATAATAAAATGTGAAACACTAAATGCCAACAGATTATAACAAAAGAAAGTGGTATTTTTTTTACTAAATAATTTATTGACAGGACATTTTATGTATCAAAACAAGTAAAGCATACAACAAATTCCTTTACAAAATTAACAACATTTTGTGAAATACCCCGCATATATAAAATACTCACTTTGATAAGCAAAACAAATCTGCATCTACATAAAATAGTTTTCAGTAATTCCAGCACTTATCAATTCAATAACACAAAATAATAATCCTATATCATTTTGTAACATAAAAATTAGACTATAGGGACGGATAACCTTATTATACAGATCCAGGGAATGTGAGTAGTTTAAAATCATTATAGTCTATTCCATAATTGCTTTCATATTAAATTTTGATATTCTTTTTGCACTATCCCACAGAGCTTTTGCCAGAGAGATGGTCCATCAGGAGCTGGTTGTAATCAGCAACAAGTGTGCTGACAGTCTTCATTATGGGGCGGTAGTCACATTCCATGGTCTTGGCTGCAATGACTTTACCAGAGTTAAGGACATAAAACAGTTTTGGTAGTTTTTACACAGATCATGATATTCTAATTCATATTTAATATTAGTGCACAAACCCAATCATTTCCAAAGCAGACAATTATAATTCTAATTACTATTATACTTTTGGCAAATGTTTAATAGTTGTTTCATCATAAATAATGAGAATATTTAGTAGCAATAAATGAATAAAACTTAGCTACAATAAATACAATATGCTCCAAATAAATGAACAAAAAAAGTATTATTTGCAACACTATTTGCAACATGTAAGGTTAAGAATTCAGTATGTGAGTAAATGCAAATAAAAAGGATACATTCTTTCATGACAAAGTTGTTCTGCTCATGATGCTGCCATTTACGCTCAAGGTTGCCCAGCTGAAACCAATGATATTCATCTTGAAAAATATTTCACAAGTTATATTTTTAATATATGCCTGTGTTGCATATTAATAGTGAGTTTTAAAACTTTAAATCTTTTTATAATACACCTTAAATAACTCTGGATATTGTAAAAGTTTATTCATTTTAACCTTGTTATGTACCGGGATCCTATTAGGTGAACTTACATCTATATTAAAATACACATCTTCATGGATATAAAGAGTAAAAAAAAAGCTTAAGAACAAATCTCTTAAGTCAAATTCTCAAAAAAAATTTAGATGGCTCAATCAAGTTTTCACAAATTTTAATACTTTAAAATAGACATATCCCATGGATTTACAAACCTGTGCAAAAGTTTCATTGTCTCCAAGCTGTACTTTCAGGGACTCATAATCAGCTGACAAATCTTGGACAAGTTGTTTTATTGTGTCTCTTCTCTTCTGCAATGTGATTTTGTCCTCAGCCAGTTTCTGAAATATAAGAATATCAATTTTTTGAATTCTTGAGCCAACTTTCAACTTGCTTTTTTGAAACAGAAAATATTAACTGGTGATTCACAAGTTGACAAAATACATCATTTTACTGTCATAACATCAAAGATCATTGAGACTCATAAACAATATTTTAAGTAATTGTTTGCTGCCCAGAACAGACTCATTATTCCAATATAACCCAAACAAATAGTTTTGAATATCTTATGCTGTTATTTGTTCTGAGACCATAGAAACATTCTTAATTTTGATGTCGATCGAAAGTTTTTCAAAATCCTTTTACTAACTATATCTCACCTTCTTTTTCTCTTCTGCCTGTGCTTTCAGCTTTGGAATATCTCCATAGATTTCCAGCTCTGAATTCATGGTTTCTATCTTGTTTTTCAGCATTTCCAACTCAGAGTTGATCTTTGTCTCCAGCTGCTCTACCTTCTGTAAATCTACCTGATACTTCTCCCTCTCTGGATTAAAAATTTACAGAAATGAATTACTTTAATTCTCAGATTATCTGTTTGCCTTTTTTCCTCTCATAATGAGCAGGCAAAAAAAAAACAAAAAAACATGGAATTATAAAAATCTTCTGTGGTAAGACCCCAATCTTCTTAGAGAAACAAGTAAAACATGTTCACATTACAAAGCACTTGGTTCCATTTAACATTATGAAGTGCAGTTAACTCAATGGATTCAAAATGTTTTGCCAAAATGCAAGATAAAGTTCCCTACAAACATTGCATTAATTAAGAAACCACAGTATTTTAAATTTTTTAATTTTATTTACCTTGTGCCAAAGTAGTAGCTGTTGCCTCAGATTTCTTCATTTCTGTCTCCTTGAAAGCCAGATCATCTTTCATGTTGGCTAGCTCCTTAGGAGTGGGCAGATGGGAGAATCTGGAGAGATTCTGAATAAAAAAAATGTTGAATAATGAGATGCATATATATATCACCATTTTATCATATCCAAAATGCAAGTTTTCTTTTAATAATAATTATGTCATTTTCCATCTAACTAAAAAAATTTAATTTCATTTCTTAAAGATTTGTTTAAATGAAAGAAATACACATACCCTACTCATATGCTCCAGAATAGCAACCACATTTGCCTCAAGTTGGCTTATTCTCTCCTAAAAAGTAAATAATAGTCTTTTAAAGTTAATCACCCTAAAGAGTTTTCTTTGATATTTTTCTATAAAAAAAATTATAACAAAATGTAAGTTACAATCAAATTAAATAAAGAGTATTATTTTCCATACTTGAATACATGAGACTGTAATATTTTTTTCCTACAAAATGACTTATTTTAACAAAACTGCAATTCAGTCATTCTAAAATGTGTTTAACAAAATTGTAGAAATACTTACAATTTCCTGTGTTTTGGATTCATCAAAAGTATCCAAAAATTCTGAAAAGATTTATCAACATTATATATATTAAGTGAACCATGTTTGTCTTATTATGTTAAGTAAAATGCATAAAAACTTCACTGTTTTATAATGTACTTTAATCTCAACATGAGGATTTTAACTGAATTGTAGACAATAACAATATTTAATTTTGTAGTTATAATTAATTAATTAATTAATTAATTAATTAATTAATTAATTAATTAATTAATTAATTAATTAATTAATTAATTAATTAATTAATTAATTAATAATTATAAATAAATTAAATGAACATTAATGATCAAACACAGACATTGCTCTTAAAATACTGAAAGTTAGATAATTACCATTCATTGTTTCTTCCCTCTTTTTCAACTCCCTATACTTTTGGTTTCTCTCACCTAAAATTTAAATTTAACCACAAATGTATATAATTTTCATAAAAGTGTGGTATTTTTAACAAGTATTCTTCCAATTAATTTCATTCTCAGAACAAATCATACTTTTATAATAATGGTTTGCACCAGTTTGGCAATACTTAAAGATGGACCTTACCCATATTTTCTTCAAGGTCCATGTCTAGCTGTCTCAACTCCTCTTGCAACTGATTCACCTTTTCATGGATTTCATTGCAACTAAGGTAAAAATGTAATTAGAAGAAGTTAAAAAATGAATAGAAGTAACAAATATGTAATCTTCACAATGAAAACTGTTATTATCAATGAACAATGACAGTTTTGTTTTCGTGTGCTAAAAGGAGAATAACTAAATGAAATGAAATCAAAATTTTACATATTAAAAATTCACAAAAATTAAAGTTGTAATGCACTTACTGTCTCTCCATGCTAGATATCTCTTGGTTATCTTGTTTGACTTGATTCAGTAACTTTTCCCTTTCTTCTGCTGGGGAACCCTTAGCTTGTGCTTCCTCCATTAGCTGATCGCGTTTCTGTTCCAACTCAAATAACTTCTCATATAATTGTACTAAAACAATAAACAAGATTGTTACACCAGTGGAGCAATTCATTTTAACTAACCCAATAAAAAATATGAAAAGATGCCCTGCCATTAGTAAATGTTAAAGTCATGTCTTCATTAACTTCATTCAAGTATTTGGTAATAATTACCTGCTTCTTGTTTCACTTGAGATAATGACAGCTCCTGTAAAACAAATAAGATGTTTTAATTGAATATTCAACATTATTAACCTTATAACAAGGTTGTTTGCAAAATGTTCCAAGATTTAACCTATTATCTTTAGACCTGCTTGGCTGACCCAAAGGTAAACCATTAAACACTTTTACATAATTTGATTCGAAAAGTGCTTTGCTATCTAATCCAACAATGGGAGTTTATCCCTTTTTACCTCCTCCAAATTGGTCTTCTTTGTGTTAAGAGCATCCAGTTCTTGTTGTCCTTTCTCTAAGTCCATCAGTAACTGGTCATTTTCCTGCTTTAGCTGCATATATCTCTGGCGCATTTCAGGGTTCTAAACAATGTAAATATTAAGAATTTAGTAATAAATTAAAGAACATTTAAAAGGTAGCAGTTGCTTATAAAACTGACTGTTGTTTTATCATTAACTATACCATTTTTAAGCAAGTTTAATAATTATGTCCTTAGAGTTTAGCTAATGTTGCTTATGATTTGATATCTTTTGTAAAAGAAAAAAATTCAAGTATTTCAAATATTAACCATATCAGCCACTAAGTTATCTGCCATCCTCTTTTCCTGATCCAGCTCCTGCTCAAGTTGTCTGATGTGATTTTCTTGTCTGAAAACACAAGATGAAATTACACATTTGCCCGACAATAATCTAACACAATGCCATCAAAAAGCATTATCACAGATTGCAAAAAGATGCTAATGATATTCATTGACAAATAGTATATCTAAAAGTCTCTGAAGCTCAATATCATATCCATTCTGTCTTGTTTTGAATGAAATGTGCTTAAATTAAGGTTACAAAATATCCCTTTTTAAACCATGACTCACTCTTGTTTTTGTGTGAAAATCGCATCAATGTTCTTTGCTTCTCTTTCATTCTGGGCTTGCAACTGAAAATAAAGTACAAACAATCAAAATAACACCTTAATACAAATAATATTTTATTTAACAACTCTTACTGCAATATGCTTTATATAGTAAATACAGTGATTGAAAAAAGAGATATGAAAACTACATGTATTAATTATACTAGGTATATAAGATAAGATATATAATAAGATAGTGACACGAATTTAGCAGTCACTGCTTACCTCTTCATAATCCCTCTGTATGTCTCCAATATCTTCATCTGTATTCAGTTTATCCACTAACTGTAAGAGTTTTTTTAAAAGAACATTAAAAATTGCAATTGTTTATATTTAGACAAATTGTTGTTTGTACAAATTAAAAGTACATGCAAGAAAAAAAATTAATGTTTTAGAACTACTAGATTTATTTCATAAACAATCTCATCATACACGCAGATATGCTTACTGTATTGTAATCTCCCAGCTCTCCCTGTAGTTTACCCAAGTCTCCAGCCAACTGCTCTGCTCTGAAAGCAAGATATACAATCATGCCAGATGTTATTTCCAAAAATATGAAATACACTTTAAAATGCTAACCATAAGCATGTCCATTGAAACTTCACTGTAAGTATGTGACATTATTCAACAATGCAAAAAATAAAAAATAAATAAATAAAAATAAATAAATTTTGGAAGCTTACCTCTTCTCATAGGTCAAAAAACTTGACTGTTCTTCATTGGCTTGTTCAATGTCTTTTCTTAATTTGTTGCACTCCTGGTTCAGTTCATTGTGCTTGGTCCTGAAATTACACATTAGATTCATTCAACTGTATCTATTAAGTTCTTGAAGGCAATTTTGTTTTATATCAAAAAGACAGCTTTTAAAATATTAACATCTCCTATGAATAAATATGACATTAAAAAAAAATATTGTTAGTAGTTCAAGTGAAAACAATGCCACTAAGCACACAATATTGGTCTAGGGAAGTGTTTGACATCACCTGACTTAAAAAAAAAAAAGTATATAACGGCAATGAAACAAACGCATGCTTAATGGTCTGAGTTGAAAATGCACACAGCATTTACCTTAGTTGTCCTAAAAAGTATGACCTGTCTTGTACCTGGCGATGAGGGCCTAAAAGATAGAAAGAAGAAATGAATGCCTGAGTAAGTTTCTTAATGAACTTATTACTTGTAGTATGGATAACAATATATAAAATCAGATACTTAGGTTTATATATTTGTTATACAACATACCTCTTCCCCCAGTTTTGATGCCTCCCAAACCTTGTTGTGTCATGGGTCTGTCAGTAACATTAATAGGGGCTGCTAATGCTGTAAAAGAAGAGAATATTATATACAAAAATATGATATGAATGCCTGCTCCTTTGAAAAAGCAGCTATAACTGGTCAAACAGGAACCAACCTTTATATTAATTGTGTTTGTCATTATGTCTTTATGTAATTACTCCAAATTAGTCTCCAATACTTCTTGGAATGGAGGAGATAATAACATCATATGGATTATGCAATAAAGGGCTTAATGCTGCCCAATGTTTTTCTCTTTACAAGTTAATTATGTCTCGAAATAAATTTTGACAAACCTTCTAGTCATGTACTAGTACCTGAGACATTTATAAGCCCTGTACAAAAATTTGCTTCATTTGAAATAAATAAAAAATAGAGTTAATTCCTTTACCTGCTCCCCCTCCTTGTACTCCTCCCCTGGTTCCTGGTCTTCCAGTGCCTGGTACCTAGAAAACAAAGCAATTCCTTGAAAATGATATAAATTCTACATAGTTTCTATAATCATACTGTTTTTACATATAGAAAGAATGCACCAAATGTACTGAAAATGATTAGTGGTGAAATAAGTATTGGTATTTTGCATGAACAAATATCCCTTACCATTCCAGTTGTTAACCTTGTTGCTGTTCCAGGTGGTCTACCTACAGGAGCTGTAAAATAAGCAATACCCTTTGCTTCAATGTGAAAAAATGTAATACCTTGCCCTTTCAATATAGACTACTTCATGTAAAATAAATTACTTGTGATTTTTTTGTAAAAAATATACATAGTATGTAAGTATAAAAAGTATCAATGCAACAAAATAAACAACAATATATTTTTTTAATGATTTTATAAAAATAATTGATAAGAAGAAAAGTTTACCAGGTGCTCCAATTTTTGGCCCACCTCTGGAGGCAGTGGTCGGCCTGCCTGAACTTGATGGTGGCCGGTTCCTAAAATTATATTTGAACAAAACGTCACTGAATATTACTATAAATCACCAATGACCATTTTTCTAATAAAAAAGGCTAAACATGCAGAATTTGCCTTAGTTTTCAGCCTTAAATACTACGCAAGTAAGGCCTCATAACACTGTGTTAGAAACTCTTCGTCAGATCATTTCACTTACAAATGACATGCATAAGCTAGAATAAAAAGACTGAAACTCCATAAGACTGGTGTGTGAGTCAATACAAAAGGATATCAATTACAAATGATATACTTTAACACCCCATTTCCATAGATTTTTAGATCGATCTATCCCTGTGGGGAGTCTCACTAGATTACTGTCAGCTTGGCCGGCTTAAGCGTCTGTCCCGCCTACTTAAAGCTGTAAGGGGGTAATTAACTATGGTGCCTGCTCGGCTGACTACAATTTAGCGTGAACCCCCAGGGAGTTAGGTCGATCTAAAACTTAATCTTTAGATCAATCTAAATCTCTGGGAAAGCACCCTAAGGTGGGAAGGAGGGCACATTTTCCCCCAGATTGTGGATAAATAAAGCCTATGGAGTTTCTAACACATTGTGGAAGTAGGAACATACCTGTGGTATGGTAGCATGCAAGTTACTCAGTGTTTGTAATTTGTACGGCAAACACTGAGGTGACGTACGGAATGGAATTAATGAAATAAAATATACCAAAGATACTCATAAAACCTGTGATATTGATGTCAGTAAAAATACAGTTTATTTTCATAACAAAGGGAAAATAACCTGAAAAACACAGCCTAGGTTTATAACATTTGGAAGTTGGAAATAAAACGAATTTGTTCTTGATTGAGTGAGAAGACAACATTGGGGCATTGAAGATTCGAAGTGAGCTTGGTTAGCAACCTTGAATTAACAGCTACAATCAAACTCTTATACCATTCCCATATACAGTCTCATACTCACATGATTCAAAAATGATAAATTCAACTTAAGCGCAGGTCTTTTAGGTAGATCTATCTTCTTTCCCTCGTATAAACAAATGTATTTTTCTCATGAAGCAAACTATCAGAAAGTATGTGCGCAACGCATGACGGGAAATATAAAGTCCGCAGAAAATCGTTAATCAATGATTTAAATATATTTCTTTTTATCATTTCTTGCTTTTATTATTTTTATATAGTAATAATATTTAAAGGTTTTTAAGAATTTATATATGTCCCATTTCTAAGCTTTCCAATCAACCTTTATATAAAAAATTTCGTAAATTAAATTTGCCCCGAGCTGATACATAGCAGACGGACAAATTCTCATCTAACACAATCCAAAATCAGTTATCCAAAATCAGTTATCCAAAATCTTAGGCACGGCCAGACAAGTCATTTTTAGGAACATCTTATCTAAATAAATCTAATGTGGAATTTTCACATTAGACTATGTGACAAGCGACGTGCTTTAGTGATGGTCTATTGATTGCGTTCGTGTTCGTGTCCAATCGTGCACGTTCGTCTTTGGTGCGTTCGAAGTCTCTTTCGCATGTACACGAGGTTCGTGTATCACGCCGTCAGGAAGACGTTCGGATTGAGGCATATTTTGTTATTTCAGGTAGGCTGGAATGTTCTTGAATAGGTTTTGGGGGTTTCTCTTATTTTTTGTGGTTTACGTTGTTTTTCTCTTATTATTCATCCTTTATCTTTCCGTATCTTTTTCACTTTTTGCATTTATTGTACCACCAACGTGGCGCTGGCGGTGCACATGGTTTTATAGTCTCAACTGGTCTTGTCCGCCGGCCCCGTCAACTCTCTTTGGCCTTTCTTATTAGCCTCTGTTACTTTACAATCAAAACCCTACTTTTCTGTTTGCTACTAAGTTTGACAACTATTTTTGTTTCTGGGTATTGTTATCTTATGTAGTTGACTAGTTCTCTTAGTTCCGTTGCCCGTACTGCCTGAGCTGATGTTATTAGAGCCTGTGATGACTGTGACAGTTCTGGGCTGTCCAAAATGTTTTTCTGTCATTAGTTTTTTGGCATCTGAGATTTTCTTTCCATCTAGTACATAGCAGTGGCTGTTTGTCTTTGGGAAGAGTTTTTCTGCTTGGAGATCTTTCCCTATAGAACTGGAGATGACAACATTGTCTAATTTCAGGTACATGTAGTTGTAGGTATCCGTAATTGGGTTGGTATGCATTATCTCTATGTTTTGGGGGATCTCTGAGGTATTAGGCCCTGTTGCTGTCACTGAAGATCTGGGTTGGCCATAATGTTCTCTTGGTGTGGAGCTGCATCCTTGTAGCCATTGTTCAGTAATGTTGTGTTGCCTGTATTGCCATCCATTAATTTCTTTTTCAGGATTTGGGAGTCGGGTATTATTCCAGCCTGCTTTGAGACATCTGGCTAGCATGCCCGTGCCTGCTCGTGACAGATGAATGCCATCCATGTTGTAGTAGCGCTGGCTGGTGATTACTTTGTTTACAGGAATGAAATGCACTTTTTCATATTTTGTGGAGTCTTTTTCTATATTGTCATTGCACTGTTCTGCTTTCTTGTTGAACTCCACATTTCCATAGCGTTTGGTTATTCCAGAGAAGTACAGAAGACTGTCTGGGTATTTTTGCTGGGTGGTTTCTATTAAGTAGATTATTTCAGTTCTGGTATCTTGTACTGTGGTCTGTGATAGTGTTTGGAGATCCCATATTTGATTTTGGGATATGCCAGCACCACATATAAGTAGAAGGGGGTAAATCTCTAGGGTGGCAGGAACTAAATCGGTTTTTGATCATACTAAAGCTTTTTATTTAATGGTTGTTCTTCAGGAGAAGATCCAGAGATGTTTTCTGACAGTTTTCCAAATTCTATGTTGACCCCCCCCCCCCCCCCCTTTAGCTTTACTACTGCTTAGGGGGATATGAGAACTGCATAGCCAGTTTATCTAAGTTTTATTCAGCATATGGATGCAATTTTCATATCCATAGCTTTAAAACAATCCTCAACAAAGTTGGCTATGCATTTTGTGATATCAAAAACATTACATTGCAGAATGATAAGAAATAATTCTCTAATGGACTCTGGGGCTGCACTGCCCAGTATATCTCTAACCTGGTTAAAATATAAGGCTTTCAGTAAAGCATAACAGGGGCATATCATCAGAAAATGGAATTCAACTAAGGACATTTTGCACACCGTGCATAATTTTTTCTCTACTGGTATTTGAGGGTTCATGTGTCGATCTCCACTTTTCTATTGCCAGATTGTGTGCACTTATTCTGGATTTGTATAGGTATGTAGCTTTGGGTTTATGGATTAATTGTATGCATATTTCTCTTTTAAAATCTTTCCTGAAGGTGCTGTAGGTGCGTAGTTTTTTTATTCTCCATGTTCAGGGATGCTAAGTGAACTTTAAAGGCTGAGCTATAGGAGCTTTGGATGAGAGGTTTTATTGTGGAAGTAAATGAGCTAGGTCTTAGATATTTTGAGAGGGTCCTCCCAGATGTCCGGGCGTCCAATAAGGGCCAGTGTATTTTTTATGCTGGTTGACCAGGTTGAGGTGTTTAGTCTGTTTAATTTTTCATTTTCGTAAAGTGCACGTGTTACAAAGGAGGTGGTATCATGGTACTTCTTATGTTGAAGGCTGTGTCGGTATTTAAGGGCCAATGTGGAGGCAGTGGTCAACATCGGGTAGCTGGAAATGCGTTGACTTATTAAAATGCAAATTTATTGAAAACAAAGTAAAATTTCATTCTTTTAAGTCAGAGGTCATATATGTCTCATATACATCATGATTCATTGTATTTGAATGGCTAGTACATTTCTTGCAAAAGTACAGTCACAACATCTTACTTTATGTACCGGTATTGCGGTTAAAATGCAAACTCTTACAGTCATTCATGGTTCAGTGCACAAAGTTTTCATAAATACTACTTAGTAAAGTTAAGCCAAATGAAAAGTCTCTGTGTAATTCAGAACACAAGGTACAAACTACAGCCTCAACATTCAGATAGAACAGTCATTCCTGAAAAATATTAACAATTACTGTGAGTCTCATGCATCTGGGTTGTCTCGTTGCAAACAAGTCAGTATGGAAATTGACGTCAATCTCCATGGTGTAGTGAACATGCAGTAGGGCCAGTCCATTGAGTCAATCCTGGGCCATGCTAGAGCACAGATGTGACTTGATCCTTTGAAGGGCAGATACTAATCGCACACACTCACAAGTTGTTGATGGTAAAGCACTTGCAATGTTAAGCAAAGTGGTGAAATTTGGGTATATGTCAGAGTCCACCAACTGAAGGGTTTGACTAATACTGACTAGTGCAGGAGAAGGAGGCGACTTCCAGTATGTCCCCCACAATTTCATCTTGGCTGGCCCAGAGAATCAGGGTAAGGCAAATCATCGAAGTAGCACTCCGACATTTTGAGAATGTCTGCTTCCCAACTTGGCTGACCTATTGCTACTGGCAGGATTGACTGTACAAACGCCACAGATGCTACCTGGTTGTCCTCAAAGCAGGTGATGAGTTCAAGTATGAGATTGTCCAGAAATAGAATGATGAAGTTTCTCATGTAGTATTCCTCTGTCTTGGTTGCTTGAGTATTCTCTCTATGTCGCTGCATTCCACAGGCCCTTGGCTTGGCTAGCACCATGTTTACTCTCGCAGCATGTGTTTCTGCTTTCTCCAACAGCTCTGATATCAGTTTGTCCACGTTCCATAGTGTTTTCAGTGTAGTGACTACAACTTTGACATTGGCATATGCCTGATGCGCATCTCTTCCTCTTTCCCCTGCAGTTTGGTAGTAAGCCCTCTTGTGTATTGGAGAACGTTTTTGCACACCACCCCTTATATGCCCTCACCATACTCCTGGTAGCCTATGAAGTCTTCACACACCTTCCCAGTAGACTCATCATAGTGCCGAAGGACAATTGGTAACTTCTCCTTAATTAATTGTTACTGTTGTCTGTTGCTTCATCTGCCATGATGGTGGAAAAACAGCCTTCTTCACTTTCTCTGCTGTCTTTGCAGTGACAATTTCCCTGCAGCGGTCTATGAGTTCGTTTTCAATAGCCTTACTCCTATATGTGACATTCTTTGGTGCATCCTGGCAATGTGCCCCCAGAATGGTATCACCAGCATCCAATCTAAACTCGATTAACTTTTGAAAGTTCCCTGTGTTGCTTTTGTCATCAAAGAAAGAACTGTCGTCTCGATGCCCTCTCAGTGCCAAATTCTGTCTACCACATACAGTGCACACAGCAGAACTGTCTTAACAATAGGTGTAAGCTTTGTCCTGTTTTCTGCAACTCTCTTTGCCAATGCATGGTCCAGTTGCTGCATGACTGGCACAGACTTACTTTCCATCGAGTTTTTTTTATCTCTGCACATGTTGCCATGGCAGATTTGTGAGCCTCAGATATTGTGTCATGTTCTTTCAACTTCCTAAGTGCAAAAGTCCATGTGATAGCTCACAAAATCAGTCTTATTCCTCCTCATCATCAATATGCTGTAGTAAATATCAGTTAAATAAAATTACTGATGAATACAAATAAGAATGTTTAAAAATGTAGTCTTAAGAGATTCATTTTTTTTTCATCCAAAAGAGAATGAACCAAATGATGTTTAATTACCTGACAGCTAGTGCATGTGCAGAAATGTTCAACTAGCTGCTCTTTGCTGCAGTCTTCCTCAGTGCTATTGTTTGACCACTAGGAGGAGTTGTGGTCAAAATGATCACAATTCATTGACATTGTAGACTTCCTGATACAGATGGATTCCAAAATTCTGCACTTACCATTGTCATATTCACTGCACACGAACTTCGCCCCCTCCTTATTTATAACATGTGAGACTCATGGTCTGTTATTGCCGATTTATTCCATTCTGATAGTGAAACCTGTCTCCCTGCACTCGTGAATGTTCTTTTTGATGTTACAGTCTCTACATCTTTCTTATGTTCCTTTAGATGGTAGCAAAAGTTTCTAGATGTTTCCCCTGTTTGTGGCGGGGCAAGAATCGCAAGGGATTTGATACACAACACCACTGTACTCCTTTTTTTCTCTTTTATCCTTTGGATGTACTAGGATGTTTCTAAGTGTCTGCAGGGTGTGGTTTCATGGCTGTGCTGATGTTGTATCTTTTCTAATGTTTACAGATGTATGTTAACAAATTTAAAACAAAATAACTAACATACAAGGTCTAAAATGAAATAAAAAGTCTATCAGTCATTTTTGGAACTTGTATGTTGCACAGGTTAAATAGTCACTCGTTGATTGTTTGGCTTAAATTTCAGGCTCTCTGAATGTCTCAGGAAGCGTGGTAGCTAGTCACAGGGACAACAGGAACTCAACAGGTAAATGCAAGCTACTTGCTTCTTTTTTAACTGGCTACTCTGAAAATTTGCAATAAAAAAAGTAAATGTGCTTTTGTTTCACAAGAGGAATCTAAAATATTTCAGTGCATCACTTATGAAAACATTTATATAGTTTCATACTTTTTTCAGCAATTTTATACAGACAAAATGTACATGTATAAGTACCACTAGTACATCACTCATGCAAACTTTTGTATAGTTTCATTTTTTTTTTCAGCAATTCAATACAGACAAAATGCAAATAAAATCAGGGTCTCAAAAAAACCCAGAATGGTTGAAAATACTAATATGATGCCTGGTGAAAAAGCAGCAGCAGAAATCCTATGTGTCAGCTTGAAAAGGAAAAAGTTACTGACCCCTTCTACATCACACTATTTATGTATTATGTACCCAGAGGGAACAGAAAGCACAGAAAATGGCATTACTTCCAGTACCACCAAAACAAACCGTGCATGTGTACTTGCCAATCTTCTTGAGTGTATCCAAGTTGTCTGCTGGCACCAGTACTTTAGAGTTCTACCTGTTGACTCACAGCCACAATTTCTCCATCCCTGTCTTTGTTAACCTTCTCCATCAGTTTTTCAACAGAGTCCACAAGGATCACCATGTCTTTGGCATACAGCAACTCCCAAGGACAACCAGCACAGAATTCCTCTGGTGAATTAATTAAAAGGTAGTTTTTTTTCATAAGTTGTCTAGAATGTAGATCTATATATATTCAAAATGTACCCCATCCCCACATGCACTTATAAAAAAATAGAAATGAAAATTTTTCCTGAATCAACACACCAATAAAAGATAATCATCTTTTTTTTAAACCTATTTTTCATCATTTGGAAGAAACTCCACAGCTCTCTTTCTAATGTAGTATATAATATAATATAATATAATATAATATAATATAATATAATATAATATAATATAATATAATATAATATAATATAATATAATATAATATAATATAATATGTGATCCAGTCGTGTGACAGAGAAATATTAGTTCATTATAATTTATTGCCCAGAGTAGTCCCTGACTCCATCTTAGTTTTCTGTTCAAAAGTAGAGAGCAGTATTTGCAGATGCCAAAGCAGTGCAGCTTCTGCACCCCTTATAATTCACCCAGCTATGTTTGTCTTGATTTTGGGGCTAGCATTTATTTCCATTTTAGTGCATATACCCCTGGTACATTGATTGTAGGAAATTGGTATCTTCCAATATATATATAAAAGTACAGCATTAAACAGTGTAGAAAAAAGTCAGTGTGGAATTTACCTTGGCTTTTAATTTTACACAACATTCTCTTCCAGCTTTTGAGGCTAAAACAAAGTGTTCTAGGTATGCTGGTGCAAAGCCTCTCAAGGGTACTGGTGAATGGAAAGAAGGGACAAGTTGTGGAAACAGATGAAAAGAAACCAGAAGTAAAGGTGGATTTTCCTGATATAGCCAAGACCATCACAGTGTCTCCATACGCATTCACAAGGTACAAGCAGATTGTAAAATCACATGGTATTTACCCTTAAGAATGTTTTATTTCATTATTGTGATTTTCTGTTTACATATTTAAATTGGTGGAATATTATCAGTCATCAAATGTAACACCAGCTTGACTTCTATGTTAAGTGGTTAACGTGCTCATGAAAATGCATGTATTATCATGTGTTCAGTTCAGATAAAAGTATTGCTACATTTCCAGTCATTTTGATTTAATATGCTGCTGACATTTGGGATAATTTGTATTGTTTTCTATATAAAGAAACAGTAAGCAGATGAAGAAAAACACTGCTACAAGATGCCAGATACCTCTGTGCCATTCATAAAAGTCAAGGGATGACTTTGAAGAGTGCAGTTGTTGATACCAAGTGTGTCTTTAATGGGCAGGTCAGTGTGACAATAGGACGGGTGCAGCATCCTGAACATTTGCAGTTTATGAATTTCAACCCCCAGAATTCAGTGTAAGGAGGTAGTTTTATACATTGTAAGATACCAATTTAACTTGCTGATGATGTACATATAATATGAAGTGACAATATTATAATATTTTACATACAAACAGTATCATCATATTTTATGCCGATGTACGCATAGCTAGTACAACAGCTAAAAATTGGGTAATAAAAACATCAGTTACATCATTACAAGAGAGAATCAAAAATTATAAACTTAGAACTCAGAAACAATTAAAAAATTTTAGTTAAATGTTGACAATATTTGGGTGTCCACAATTACATATGTCTACTTCACATTATGTAGTGTACTGCATGTAGTATGTTAATTTTGATAGCTCTCATCAAATACTGATAACAAGTATGGTGAATAATATATGGCACCTTTTTCTTTTATTTTTGATCATTTTATACAAAGGGTATAGTTGAAAATAACATTGTCACATTTGATAACTGACAGCAAAGTACTTAACCCACATATATGTCGTTTATACATATATGGTTATGAACTGGCAATTTGATCATTAGTGTACCTTATATTTTGTTAAAAGTTAGACACATAGATTAGCTGGATGTAGGTACCTGCATGAACATTTCCAACTAAACTGCGTTATGATTACTTAGCTCCCCTGTGAAATTATAATTAAGTAAATCAGTCTTGATATTATGAGAGTCATCACAAATAATGCTGATGCATCTGGGTCAGAAGTTGACTGTCAGATTGAGATAGACAGGGCAGGAATTAAGTGCTAATTTATAAATGCAAAGTCACACCATAATTGTTTTTTAAAACATAAAGTGATTATCTCGAGTGCAGACTCATTGCCAGTAAACATTTGATTATCTTCTTCACAGTATAGGAGTATGTACTCTACCAATATTCAGTTTTATCTTTAATGTAACCTAGCTATTTAATACTAATAACATTAAGTACACAATATACTCAGGGTTTCCCCTAGGCTTTTTATTTTGAGAGTCATGATGACTCCCAAAGCTTTTTAATGGGAATCAAATGAAAAAAAAAAGAGTCAAGTCAGTAAACAGATTTTTATTCATTTATATGCTAGATCACTACACAGCTTGTACAATTTAAGGTGCTTATTTATTCTTCCCTTTTCCTGAAATAGTAACACTGCTTTTCCAAAATTGAAGTCTGCTACAGGAGGACCCTGAAGTCTTATGAAAGACGGTCTGTTTAATTTCTCATTTGACAAAGTTTCTAACAGGATTTTTTATAGTATTTTGAATGCTGAAGCCTCGATCAGAGGAGACTGGAATAACACTTGCAATCAAAGCTAACTTGACAAAGTCAGGATTTGTCCTTGTTCTCTCTAATCAGATTCTTACAAAAGTTCTCAAATTTTAAGGCCTTTTTAAATGATTTCGCATAATTTTTGAACACAAGAAATTGACTTCTGAGATTTTCTGCATCAACAATGTTACTATAGAGTTCTATAAGCTTCTCAAGTTGCTTATTTCCATATTCTGCAATATTGACAACATCAGGGTATTTGTTTGGGTTTAGCACAATGTCACTCTAGTATATTTAGATCATTTTCAGGAAACCTTTGTGATATTATTTTTCAAAGAGTCTAAATAATTATTTCTTACTGCCACAAACCTTTGCCTTACAGATTGATTGTCAGTCAATTCAACTCCAGTATACATTGCTTTTTCTCCAGGTGGAGGGTCACCAAGAGTTTGTAGGATAGTGTTAACTTTGTGAGATCCTTGTCTGAAACTTTCCAAAGTATAGCCAAATTAAGTATAGCCAAAGTTGAGTCAACTGAATTATTATTATTTATTTTTTATTATTATTATTATTTATTGCGGTTCAAGTACATTTTTTACAATGACTATGACCTAACAGTATACATAATATAATCATATAACTAAAATTACAATAGTAAATTACAATATTGTTTATACAATAACTGTGATCAGATTTTACAATTGCAGTATACGCTCGTTACTTTGGTTGACTAGGTGGTGGTTGGTTGAGAATATTTTTTCTTACCTTATTACACATTGTGATATAGTGGGCCACATTCTTTATAACATGTAAATCGTTTGACTGCATTATGCATTTGAACTGACCCTCTGGGGTTTGTGTAGGATCTGGTTTTAGGATCTCCCTGTGTTTGGTGAGTAAGGGGCATTTTAAAAGAAAGTGTATTTCGTTTTCCACTTCATCTGAGCATAACTTGCAGATCCTTTCTTCAGGGGGTATTGATTTTGGTTTTCGGTATCTGCCTCTTTGGATTTCTAAGTCATGTGCCCCTGTTCTAAATTTTGCCAAATTTTGCATTTCATGTTTTGGTATAGGTGCTGTTGTGTACGCTTCCCTTTCATAATTTGTTTTAAATAATCGATATGTACGTAGTATGCTGTTTTCTCGCTCTATTTCTTTGAGAAACAAAAGGGTATAATGACTTTCCAGTGCTTTTTTTACTTCTGCTTTCGAGGGGGTATTAGTCTGTGTTTTCATTAGATTTTNAAGTGTATTTCGTTTTCCACTTTATTATGGATATTTGACAAAATGAGGTTTTCTGAAAAGTACGTGAGACTACACTCAAAATGTCAACAAGCAAAGCTGTTACCAATAAAAACAAGCTTGTTCCCATGAATTTAAGCAAACCTAGAGCTTTTGGGTCAGTTTTAGCATCTGCATTTTCTAGTGACATGATAATTGCATCATAAGATTGGAAGATCATTTTGACTGCAGCTTCAATTGATAGCCACCTCATGCACTTGCCTTCGATGACCACGAAGAAGGTCTTGCAGTTCACATAATTTGTCATATTTAACAGATGAGTCCTTTTAATATCTATACAACGAATATATGTTTGTTTCTATGAAAATCCCTCAAATAGTCATTATCTTTTGCCGCCTGAGAAGCAGCCAAGTTAAGCCTGTGTGGTACACAGTGTACTTGAGTTAAATGTGGATTTCTTTTTTTCATTTTTGCACCAAGTCCATTCCAACGCCTGGTCATAACAGATGCACCATCAGTGCCCAGCCCCATGATTTTAGAAATGTCACTTTCCTCATCAATGATCGACTTCGATTTTAGAAAACAAAGCAATGGCAGTACAGTCTGTGACATGTTCATTGCCTGCAAAACAAACGTTTCACCTGTGTTCATGTTAACATACTTGATATATATGGTTAGTTTTTTCTCAATATTAACATCAAAGGTTTCATCCAACATAATGCTGATATAAGGACTCTGCTTGATTGCATTTATCTGGTTGTTTTCCAGATGCACTCTTCCATCTCATCGACAATGCTTTGTTTTCGATAATGATCACTATAGTTTTCAACACTGTTAAGAACTTGAAGTTCCAATAAATCATTAAATATGTCAGATGGACAGTTTCGTTTTGCCATGACATACACTGTTCTAAGATGTTTCACGTGTCCGTCTGTTTTTCGGCTCCATCTTCTATCTGACTCTTTCATATTTTCTGCAAAGTTATAAAAATCAAGTTGTGTCAACATTAACGCAGCAATGATATNGTCCGCTCCTGTTATTGACCATGTTACCTGTTGTGCAAGATTAAAATTCAGTGTTGACTGACAGTGCTATTATAAGCATTATTTATTATTGCATCAAAATTGACAAAATGACCTTTTTTGCATCTTTATTTTCTGTTTTTTGTCTGTACATTTGACAGCTTTGCTGCCTTGTTTCATTTTTGCACCAAGTCCATTCCAACGCCTGGTCATAACAGATGCACCATCAGTGCCCAGCCCCATGATTTTAGAAATGTCACTTTCCTCATCAATGATCGACTTCGATTTTAGAAAACAAAGCAATGGCAGTACAGTCTGTGACATGTTCATTGCCTGCAAAACAAACGTTTCACCTGTGTTCATGTTAACATACTTGATATATATGGTTAGTTTTTTCTCAATATTAACATCAAAGGTTTCATCCAACATAATGCTGATATAAGGACTCTGCTTGATTGCATTTATCTGGTTGTTTTCCAGAACTTAAAAAATGCACTCTTCCATCTCATCGACAATGCTTTGTTTTCGATAATGATCACTATAGTTTTCAACACTGTTAAGAACTTGAAGTTCCAATAAATCATTAAATATGTCAGATGGACAGTTTCGTTTTGCCATGACATACACTGTTCTAAGATGTTTCACGTGTCCGTCTGTTTTTCGGCTCCATCTTCTATCTGACTCTTTCATATTTTCTGCAAAGTTATAAAAATCAAGTTGCGTCAACATTAACGCAGCAATGATATTTATTGCGTCTTTTGATCTCTAGCATGCATCATATACGCGGGTTTTCTGTGTCAGGGGAAACCCTATATACTGTATGTTACAAACAAGTTGATTCAGTACATTTATAGAAGTCTTGGCCAATTTTGTGTGGATCGCGAAAGGCTGTTTTGTGTGCATTTTGTACAGAAGTACAGACTACCCAGCTTCTGAGCGAGACTCAACATAACTTTTTTTGGATTGTGGACCCTGGTTAATGGTAATGGTATTCAGGGCTTGCTGTACTGCAGATACAGACAGATTGAGATTCTTTATTGATAAACATATTCTTAATCCGGGTAGGGTTATAGGTTTATATAGCAAATGAGCGCCAATTCTTAGCTTAGACAATGTGGACCTCCGCAGTTTATCAAGGGTCATCACCTAGTTTTCAGTCGTAAAATCTTTCTTAAATTTCATATACGATCTCAGCTTGCTGCTTTTCGTTATTGCCTCCCCCCTTTGATGGTCGCACATTCTTTCAAGGGAAACCCAGATATTTTTGTTAAGACATTATTTAAGTTTCTTTTTCTTCATGGCTTATCCTAACACTGATTGAACTTCACAAATGAGCTGAAATATTTAATACAAATGGACGAGGCACCACTTTTATCATCAAACCTGTCAGGTTCAAGGGCTAAGGTGGCCAGGGATTCTTTTCCTAGGAAGTTCAGTCTATTTACTAGAACCAGTATTTTGTCTCCAGCCCAAGCATATTATTATTATTAGGCAACACTGGGTAGCTCCCAAGTTTGCCTCTAATTGCTAGGTTAAATGCACTTCTGTGGACCCTGAGGATTGTTTTATAGACTTTGATATAGACAGCAGGTGGTCTGTCACGGACTTCTAGAAGGTTATTTGACATACTAGGCTTGGGACTATAGGGACCCATATTTCGCAACCCTAACTAAGGATGGGGAATATCATAGTGGGGAAAAGTTTACTGGCAGTTTTAAATGGGCTGGAAACAGCTGGAGGCAGATTTTAAAAAACTCTTTCTTAATTTGCTTTAACTTTCCGGGTTTCCATTGCTTTATTAAAGGGACAAAAAATAGGATTAAAAACGCCTTTTTAGTGCATGGATTGCTTCTTATTTAACTTATCTGAGAACAATTGATATGGGTAAAGCATAAAATGGCAGGTAAATGGCCTTAATCAATATCGAAAAAAAGAATCATATTCACCGTCCACTTTCGAACCCCGGGCGTCAGCCATCTTGACACAGTTTGAAATAACGCGGCATCTCGACTCGGATACGAGATGTAAACAATGCAGACAGCATGTCTCACTCGACTGCNCGTACTGTTAACCTCAGGATAAATCGGGATAAATCAATTTTGGCGCGAAAATCCTCTTTTGTGTCCTTTTAAATTTTCCTGGTGGTGTGATTTTCGGTGCTTGACCATGTGCTATGTGAGGTGGATGTGAAAAGTCCACATCATCTGGAAGGGTGGGTGATGTTTTTTTACCCTTAGACAAGTGTGAAAAGAGTGCTGTTTAAGAAACCTTTCACCTTGTGCTTCAGAATCATGTGATTCATCAGATGAAGTGATAGCGGCGGTGTAGAAAGACGAGATTGGTGGTGTGAAGTAGTATTACCAATACCAGGAGGTATGGAAATAAGTTAGTACAGTATTGCTGTTGCACGTGCCCTAAACAGATGTACGAGAACAACATCCCCCTTAGGAAAGTCAATTTCCCAAGAAGTGCTGTTTTACAAGTAAACAAACCAAAAAGGAATACTCCACGTTCCCTACGCCGTAACCATACGTTCGAGAGTTTAGAACTTACAGTGAGGTTTCAAAAACTTGACCCCCGCCCGCCAAATTTTTCAGTATGGCGTCGAACAAAGGAGAAATTACCTAATGGCTTGCAACAGCTTTATGCTTGGAGGTCCTGTGTACCTCATCCCCAATAAAGTGTTTAACTCTATTCTGACAGCAGTAAAATACAAATACACTTCTGGTACTTACTGAGAGTATTGCCTGTTCCGTCTGTTTGGTAGGGACAGCACTTTTCTTTGGTATGTCCCGTATGCGCAACAAGAATCCCAGGATCCTCTCAGCAGTGACAGAAAACACTACAAAAGTAAGGGGCTCTGAACGCAGCTGGTATTGATAACATAAGTTAGTCCCCTGATGTTTTCACAGGAAATTAGACTGAGTTATACATGCTATTTATCATATTCAAAAAGGTATTACCTATCATTGCCAGTTGCAATTTATATAGAAGGGCATTTCTCTATACTGTAATTAGGCACTTGAGAAACCTACAAAGCATATATGTAGTGTAGTATCTAGTTTATTCAAATATTTATCGATCAGTGTTTTAAGTACCAATATGTGATCGACTGTATACGCCCCTTTCTTGAAACCTGTTTGGTATTAGGAATCGTGTAAATCAGTACAATTAAGTTACGGTCATGTTTGTTTCTATGGATAAGTTTTTACCTTTAAATATCACCATTGTTGGTAGTTTTGTTCCACTTGCCGCCACGGACTGCACCATGAG